TCCCGTAATTTGGGGCGCAGTCAAAGTGCGGAACACCTACTTCTCGCATTTCGAGAAAAATGGACACACATTAGGTACGTGGCGGGGTAGCTGCATCGATCTCCAGGATGCTTGACAGCTCTGCGCACACCATTGTGGTTTGCGCAGAGCTCAATTGCGATTCGCAGAGGCCGATCTTCCTTCCTCCTGTGTTTCTCGCAGCTTAGAGAGTATTTGGCTGACGTTCGCACCTCATAGTGGAGTCGTCGCCAGTTGTCCCTCATGACGACCCCACCCTCCTGTTCACAAACGCTGGCATGAACCAGTTCAAACCCATATTCCAGGGAACCATCTCTCGCGAGGATGACATGGCAAAACTCACAAGAGCTGTGGACACCCAGAAGGTATGTCGCACATAATCGCACAGTGCTATCAAGATTGCTGATTGTGAATAGTGCATCCGAGCCGGCGGCAAGCATAATGTAAGAAGTCTTGTTGTTTACAAGCGTCTTTGGGTGTGTACTAACATCCTTTAGGATCTTGATGATGTTGGAAAGGATGGATACCACCACGTGAGTTTCGACAAACCTATCTCCTTTTCCAATAGCTAACTTGAGCCAGACTTTCTTCGAGATGCTTGGCAACTGGTCTTTCGGAGATTACTTCAAGAAGAGAGGCTATCCAAATGGCTTGGGATCTTCTGACCAAGGTATTTGGACTGGACAAGGAGAGACTCTATGTCACATATTTCGAAGGTGACAAAGCTGCTGGTCTAGAGCCTGATTATGAGGCTAGAGATCTCTGGTTGGCAGTTGGTGTTGCTGAGGATCATGTTCTGACCGGAAACATGAAGGACAATTTTCTGGGAGATGGGAGATCAGGGTCCCTGTGTTCCCTGCAGTGAGGTTCATTACGACAGAATTGGCGGCGGTCGCAATGCTGCCCACCTTGTTAACATGGACGATCCCAACGTTCTCGAGATCTGGAACATTGTGTTCATTCAATTCAACCGCGAGGCCGACGGATCATTGAGAACCTTGCCAAACAAGCATATCGACACTGGCATGGGCTTTGAAAGATTGGTGTCAGTCCTCCAGAACAAGAAGTCGAATTACGATACCGACATCTTCCATCCTCTTTTTGCCCAAATCCAGCAGATTACTGGGGCAAGAGCATATACCGACAAATACTACGATGAAGATGTTGACAAAATCGATGAAGCCTATCGCGTTATTGCCGACCATATCCGAACATTGACGCATTCCATTGCAGATGGTGCCGTTCCTCATAGCGATGGTCGTGGTTATGTTATCCGCCGAGTACTACGCCGAGGCTGCCGTTATGCTCGCCGATATTTCAACGCAGAGATTGGGAGCTTTTTCTCCAAAATCCTTCCTACTCTTGTCGCTCAAATGGGCGAACAATTCCCAAACATTGTCGCCAAGCAAAACGAGGTCAAGGAGCTTCTCGACGAAGAAGAAGAAGCATTTTCTCGAACCTTAGACCGGGGGAAAAAGATGTTCGAGAAATATGCTGCTGAGACCCTTCAGAACAGCAGTAAGAAGCTGAGTGGTGAGAGTGTCTGGCGTCTCTATGATACGTTTGGGTTCCCTGTCGACTTGACTCAGATCATGGCCACTGAGCGGGGATTGGAGAGCGGGGATTGGAGATCGATATTTCTGAGGTTGAAGCAGCCCAAGAGAAGGCTCGTTTAGCCAGTAAGGCAGACAAGAATGCTGTCTACACTTTTGCCAAGCTTGACGTTCATCATATTTCGGAACTCCAGTCTATGAATATCCCAGGTACTGACGACAGTGCAAAATTTCTGAAGGGAGGCAGCACTGGAAAGGTCCTCATCATCTTTGACGGCCAAAAGTTTCATCGATCGACCAAGGAGCTGCCTTCTGAACAGCCAGTTGCCGTCATCCTTGACAAGACCAACTTTTACGCCGAGCAAGGCGGCCAGGTGAATGACACTGGCAAACTTGTGATCGATGGTGTTACCGAATTCAAGGTCTTCGATACCCAAAGTTATGGTGACTATATCGTCCACAATGGCACCTTGCAGTACGGAGAGTTGAACGCCGGCGAGATGGTATTTACCGAATATGACGAGCTGCGCCGACAACCAATCTAGAACAATCATACCGGCACCCATATCTTAAATCATGCTCTACGCAAGCATCTTGGTGATGGTGTTCAACAAAAAGGTTCGCTGGTCGATGAGGACAAATGGCGTTTTGATTTCTCGCACAAGTCCGCAGTTACTCCAGCCGAATTGGAGAAAATTGAAGGCTCATCAAATGAGTATATCAAGCAAAACTGCCAAGTATACACCAAGGAAGTAGAACGTAGCGACGCTCTAAAAATCAATGGACTTCGAGCTGTATTTGGAGAGACTTACCCGAACCCGGTCCGAGTCGTCTCAGTCGGAGTCCCAGTTGATGACCTGCTGAAGGACCCTGAGAATTCAGCATGGATGGAGACGAGCATCGAATTTTGTGGCGGAACTCATGTTGAGAAGACTGGTATCATTAAGGAGCTGATCATTGTCGAGGAGAGTGGTATTGCGAAGGGAATTCGCCGCGTGGTTTGCTTCACCGGCCAAGCAGCATACCAAGCCCAACTGCTTGCCGATCAAGCAAGGGCAAAGATTGATGACTTGGATAAGATGGCACATGGAACGGAGAAAGAGACAGCTGTCAAGTCTTTCTAGAATGAATTGATCTAGCTCATAACATCCACGTTGAAGAAGGATGGTTTAAAAGCTAAGCTTGTAAAGGTCTAAAAGGACATCCTCGACGAACAAAAGCGCGCTCAGAAAGCCGAGTCCAAAACTGCAGTTGACTTTGTTGTTAAGTATTTCGACGACAATAAGAATGAGGATTACTTCATCGGCCAACTTCCTATCTCTGGTAATCCAAAGGCTGTTGCCGAAGTTCTGAATTATATCAAAGCTAAGGACAAGTCGAAGACTGTCTACCTCTTTGGTGGCGATGAGAATTCGGTGGTGTTTGGTACCTATGTGGGGACTGTAAGTTGAATTAGCGCTTTCCGACAACATTGCTAACATATTTAGGAACACGCCAAGAAAGGCATTAAGGCTGAGGAGTGGGCTAGTACTGTTTTTAACGTGATTGGAGGCCGTTCTGGTGGAAAAGAGCCCACCCGAACTGGACAAGGAACCAATCCAGACAAGATCGACGAGGGTGTGGCCGTTGCTACAGAATGGTTCTCGAAGATAAATGTTTGAGATTGACGAACACTTCTACTTCGTTGCGGAGCGTTTCTTGATGATGAATGACTTTGAAGAATACCCGCATTGCTGTTTTCCAATTAGCTCATCATCAGGCGCATGGGTTTTTGCGAGAAACGACTTTATGAACCAAGCAACTTGCCTGCATTTCATTTGTAGAATTAATCATCTTGAACTTGTACCAGCTTTGCTTTATTCGCTGGGTTGTCGAGGTTATTAGACAGAACTTCTAATAAAGAGGAAACTGCATTAAAATTTAGAGGATTTGTGTGACCTGTAAGAAACTGTGAGGACATCTATATAGGAGAAATATCCATGGATTGAGCAAATGATACTCTAAGCATTACGTCTTGCAAATACTTTCACTTGCGCAGCTGCATGTACTTTGCTTGAGGGAGGGGGGACAGCAAGTTGCAAGACACTGACATATATAGTAGCACCTTCCGCGCTTGGCAGACTATATTTAACAGCACTTGAAAAGCTAGTCTTGCAAAGAATATCGAATTTCAGAGTAGCACCTCCCCTATTTGGCGGACGATATTCAACAGATCCCGAAGAGCTGGCTGCAAGAACCTTGATGTCCGCTTGGACACTCCCCTGTTTGGCGGACCATATTCAACGGCCTCCAAACAGCAGACCTCGCAAGAATATCGACTTTCAAAGAGCACCTCCCTCGCTTAGCGATAGTACACTTCGACTTGTCTTACTTGAGCAAAGAGAGACATCTACTTCATTCGACTTGCCTCACTTGAACAAAGGTGGACGTCTGCTTCGACCTGCCTGACTGGAACAAATATGCATATCTACTTGAGCCTTGGTCCAGATGAATCAGGAACATCGAGATATGGAAACAAGAATTCACTCTGGCAAGGAAAAGTAGGTGCTGTATTATAGCATCCTTTTGCGTTCCCGCGCTGGATTACGAGAGAACGAATGCGTACTGCTGGTGTCCAGTCAAAACCAGGAAAGTCCTCCTTTGGCACACTGCTTTGAATGGTCTCTGGGACATTTGCTTTCATGACTTTTTGGGCGATAAAGTGAAAGGTAGGGCGAGACGAACGAATAGGGAAACATTAACCGTCTTATTTTATGGATGGGTTTCAATTATTGAACAAGTGTGGGTAGATCTTCTTCTATGGTAGAATGCGGCCTTTGCATCTGCTGCAAAAATATGAGGAGAGGTGGGAGAAGGGAGAGGAATTGGAAGTACCACCTTTCTGATAAGTATTGCACAAAAATGAGGTTGAGATACTGACTACTACCTTGGAACAATGTGGGTTCAGTATTCGCGCATGGAAAGATAGTGCTCTGGTTGCCCCAGTTCTCGGGAGAAGTGTCAATTGATTGGGGACTTGTCAATCACCGGAAGACTTATCAAACACCCCTTATAGAAATAGAAACCCACTCAGCAACCCAATGAAACTCCCATGCCACAGAACATATCCTACCGTGACCAAGAAAGCAGCATCACTAATGCTGCATCAATGTCCCTGCCCTCTCACATAACAGAGAACTATTCATCCACCCACTACCATCATTATATGAAAAAATACACCCCAAAAACGTCAACGAACAAGTCTTCTGGGGATTTGATGCATAGGTAGCCACACCACAGAACATATCTCACAGTAACCAAAAAGAGCAGCATCACTAATGCCACGTCACTGCCCTCAGCTCTCCCTCCATCTAACTGAGCACTACTCATCCCACCTATTACTATCGTTGTATCGGAAATTATGCCTCAAAAATATAAAAAACACATTTTGGGCATTTGACGCAGGGGTAGCGTGCTTGCTTCGCACACTGAAAATGTGAAGTTGCATGAAGTCAAGGGTTCGAATCCCTTGGTCTTCAAAATTTTTGGCATTCATATTCACTTTGTGCTCCTTGAGCGTTATTTGCTGATCACTTGATCCTTGCTTGAGGGAGATTGGGGGGGGGGGTAGTGGTGTGGTGAGTGTTTTTGGATGAGGCTGTTCGGATGGGGATGTGAGGAGGAGGGCGCAGCGTTCAAAGGAGAACAACTGCAAAGGCAGGAGACGTTTTGTGATACCACACATTCTTGCTTAGCAAAGTCTGAACAATCGCTTGATTGTAATGCTTGTGCTTTTGTAATGAAGTGGCGGTGGTCTTGAAAGTAGATCTGATTTCAGATATGCGGTGGAAAGACACGCAGTTCGAAGACAAGGCAGACATAACTTAACCCCCCTATTTTTTTTGCCATCCTTCATATTCGCTAAGCAAGCTTGATTCTTGCTTATGCGAAGATGTGTGTGTGTGTGTACGGTACACAAGATCTGGTGAGTAAGGTTTTCAAATGCGGAGTTAAAAGAAGAGTAGATAACTCTACTCCCGAGCTTAAAAGCTTAACTAAAGGTTTTAATACCCCTGAGCTCATAAGCTCGTCGACTTCTATAACGTTTATTACTTCGTTTAATTATTCTTTATTCGGAATAATAAACGGTATTTTTAATTTTAATATATTAAATACGCTTAATCGATTAATTATGATGAAACTAACGTCTTAATCTCCTTCTTTTTCTTTCATTATTTTAATAAGATCTTTTAATATTAAGCGTAATTAGCCGATTATTCTTTTTATATTTAAAAAGCTTAAATAAAAGAAGGTTTCGTTAAAAGTGATATTCCGAGTCATTATTATATATTATAATTAAAGCATTTAGATCTTATAAATATTTAATTAAATAATTAAAATACACTCGCGAGTTGACTTTAAAAGCTCTTTTTTAGTAAAGAGCTTCTCGGTCTTTAATTATAAAATAAGCTTTATAGCCGTACGTATGTAAGTTGCTTTAATCAAGCCGTAAATCGATTATTAGCTTTAGCGTAAGTTTAAGGTCGTAATACCGAAAATACTACTTAAACTAAGCTTAAAATACTTCGTTCGGACTCTTAAAGCCTTTGCCAGCAGATAAATTTATATTATAAAAAGCAATTACTGCTATTACTAATTCCGTCTAAAGCGCCCGAAGTAAATTAGCGGAAAAGCGTATTTAATTAATTTATTAAATTTTTTCTTTACTTGCGCGCTTAGCTCTTTTATTAAGTTAATATATATATGAAAAAATAAATTCAATATTAATATTACTCTCCTTATATTATTTTTTATATTTAATTAATCTATTAATCCTTATAACTGAAGTATTATTATCTTAGCGTATTTTGCAAATCGGAAGCACGAATTAGCGTTTTATTTATGCCTTGAACGATTTAAAAGCATTTAAGATAATAATTAACTTTTTAGTTTTCAAAAGCCGCTTATAGAATTTCTTATTATATTCGTCTTTAATTAATAAAAGCTAGTTATTCCTGTTAAACCTTATTAAAAAGTCGAATAAATCTTAAGAAATGCGGTAAAAAAGATAAGTAATTGCTTTCTTTAATTAATAACGACTTATTACTTGCTGTATTATAATTACCGTATAATACTCGCATTTTAATTGAATTAAGTTTTAAATCTCGACGTTACGCGTATTTTTAATTAAGTTTTTTAAAGCTTATTTTTTAAGATAACTTACGCGTAAATACTATAAGTAAGATTTATTGACTCGTAGCTTTAAATAGCGTTTACTCGATTAAAAGCTTTAACAAATGCTTCTTTTTAGTATTAAAAATATTGAAAAGCTATAATTTAAGCGAATTAAAATGCGGCGAGTAATTAAAGAAACCGAAAAGTTATTAAAAGGCTTATATTTAAAGAAAATTAAATTAAATTATTGCTATAATTGCTTTAAAACTAAATTATTCTCGGTTATTTTCGTGCGTAAAATATAATTTAAATTATTATATTAAACTCTTATTTATAAATGGCGAGCTTTTGAAATAATATTAATGTTAAAGCTTTTAATAATTACGACGTTTAAAAAAGTTAAATCGCTTATATTCGGTCTGTTAAAGCTGTAAAAAGCATTTTTAAAGACTCGAATACCGCGGCCCTTAATTATTATGCTTAATATTCCGGCTTTAACGCTATCGTCCGCAGTGAATTTAATAAAGCTTCCGGGGATAAGGAGAGCTTTTGAATTTATTAAATAAATAATAATTCCGTTTTTTGAGCAAAGTGCTTTTTATAAGCGGATAGCGATTTATATTTATAATAGCGTATATTCACGTAATAGCGAGAGCTTCGTGGAGAAATTTAAGACTTATAAGGCAAGCTTAAACGTTTTTAAAGTATTTTACTTTTATTAAAATAACCAGTTTTAAAATTATAAGAGTTATTAATACTTAAATAAAAAAAAGAATTATCGGAAAGCGATCCGGAAATTAGTTACGCTATTCATAATATATTCTTACTGAGTTTAGCGATCGCTCGGTGGAGGTTAAGGAAGTTGTTTTTTAATCGGAGTCGAGTCTTCTTAATTTTTTTTACTAATAGTAAGTTCTTAAGATTACTTTTTATCGAGCTATTATAATAATACCGAAGTCTGTAATAATCGATGGCTTTATAATAATAAAAGCGATGCTTATACGGGCAAGTATTTACTCGCGTATTTTGCGACTGATTTCGTTAAATTAACGGAGTTACGAGAGTATTTAATTTTATTTTAAGAATAATATATAAGCTTATTATTTTTTATTATTTAAAAGCTATAAGTAATTCCTTATTAAAAATAAATAAATAATTTATATAATTAAATAAAGAATATTAATTTATTATTTTAAAAGTATTATCTCTTAGTAATTCAAAGTGCCGTTTGCGCGCTTATTCCGGTGCGAGCTTTTATTATATCATTTTTAATAAAATCAAGTATTACTAGCGGTCTTTTAACGTCCGGTAAGTCGTATAAGAGAGTATTTTAATAAGCGGTCTTTTATTTTTAGAGCTATTTTTTAAAATTAATTCGCGTTGCTTTAATAATATCGAGTTTCTTTTTATAAATAAATTATACTAATTTACAAGCATTTATTTCCGAAGGCGCGTAATCTCTTTTAAGGATCCGGAAAAGTAATTAAAAAGTCTATGATTTTAGTTAAGAGTTTTCGTTTATTATTTCGGGTAAATTTCTTTTTATACGAGCTTATTCGTTCTCGTATTCTTTAATTGCTTTTTAATAAATAAAAGGATTAATTATCTCTTAAATCTACTTATAATCTACCTTATAAGCTCGAGCTTTTTCCGTTTATTATATAAGCTCTTTTACGTATTCTCTTATTAAAGTATTATATATTAAAATTATATTCTTAATTATAGCTTTTACTAGTAATAATGCGCTTAGCCTAAAGCTTTTCTTTATAAGGTCGCGAGTATTTTCGTTTTATTTTGCTTAAGTTTAAAAGTTTTATTTAATAGCTTTTTTATCTTATTATATTCTTAAATCGTTTAGCGATAAGAGCTTCGGTTCGGCGTCGAAAAAGTTAAGAGCAATTAATAACGTAAAGTTTATTGAATTTTATATTTTATAAAAGATATAAAAGGATTTAAATGCTTAATATTAAGGAGTTTAAATGCGCTTATTATAATTAAAAGGAGTTCGATTATTTAAAAAAGAACTAAAATTAAATCTATTATAGCGAAAGAGTTGCTCTCGTGAGCTTTAAGTATTCGATAAGGAAAGAAGAATTAAAAAAGTATTAAGTCTAATTGCTTAGCTTTTATATTTATTTAAAGTAAAATAAAAGAATTAATAGAAAAATAATAATATGAATTATATTTTATAATAAAATAGAAAACTCTATAGCGTATAACAAATACTCTCTATTCATAAACTTACCTTATAAGCTTTATTTAAATTAGTAACGTATAAAAAGAAGAATACTAACTTAATAGCTTTATTAATAGAGTTTATAATTAAAATATAAAATTAGATTAAAGCACTACGAGCAATTATAATTTAATTAAAGTAATTAATTATATTTAATTCTAGTTCTATTAATGTAATTTAACGATTTCTAGCCGCAATTTAAGCCGCTTAAATAACACGTGTTATTATAAACTTAGAATTTAAGCTACTTTAGATTTTCCTCCTTTTCCTTAGCTTTAATTACTTTAATTACTCTTTTAACTCTTTAATTCTTATATTTGCCTTCCTTAATTCGTAATCATTTTTATTAAATGTTTTTATAATTTTCTTAAAAAGTAAACGCTACGTCAGATGCTAATTATATAATTCGCTTATTAAAGTGCGTATTTATAAATAAAAATCTTTCGTAGATTTAGAAATCTATAATTAAATGAAAGTGCTAAAAGGCTCGGGAAATAATATTATTATTCTATAAGACTCTTAGAAAGCTAAAGCTGTCGATTTATTATTATTTTTTTAATAATAACGAGCTTATTAAAGGTTTCGCAGAAATACCAGCTATAATTTACTAGTTCTTTACTTAGATTTAATATTAAAAGGAGTAATAATATCTCGGCGTGCTTTTTATTGAATTTGACTTCGGTAACTCGTGCCGATTCTACCCTAGAATAGCCGAAGGAGTTTCCACTGCTTACGCGGCCCGGAAATTATCTTCGTATTCCGGGAAATTACGCTCGTATTTAATTACGTAGCCCGTATAAGCTACGTAATTAGTTACGTAGTCGTAGAAGCTTCTAGAAAAGCTATTATTTTGTATATAACTACCGAAGAGCTCTTTTAGCTTTTCAAGCAAGTAAGTAAAGTAATTCTCCCTTTTTGATTACGTGTCCTCAACTACTGCGCTTCCTCATTCTGATTGGCTCGCCTATTCTCACACTTTTTAATAATAAAAAAGGAAATTACGCTTGCTAATTAACGTAAAATCGATTAAGGAACTTAATTTATACAGTTCCTTTTAATAAGCGCGCTTTAACGTAAAGAAAACCGTCAAATTTAAGGATTATAAAATATATAACGTATATATAAGTA